ATATAATTTATAGAAATTAGATTCTTCTTCTTTAATAATAGAGATTTTATAATCCTACTAGCTATACTTTAATAGCTTTATTTTAAGTTCTTCTATAAATAATATCTTCTTAAAATAATTATATTCCTATAGAATATTTTTAAGATATTCTTTCTATTTTAAGTACTTAGCTTATTTATACTTATATTAGATATTCTTTTCTCTATTCTATTATACTTTTTATTAGTTATTTATTTAGCTCTATTTCTAAATTCCTATACTAAATAGTTTTAGAAATAGCTTTTTAGTTTCTTTTTACTATTAATTATACTTAACTTTATATTTTTATTACTATTCTTTTATTAGTTATTTCTAATTAATAGATATTAAATCTATATCTAAAAGCAGTTCTTATTTCTATATCTAATTTAAGATTTATATTATTTATCTTAGTTCTTATTATAATAGATTTCTTATATTTCTAGATTATAATACTATTAAGGCTAATACTATTATATCTACTTATTATTATAAATTATTAATATTTTTTATAATAATACTTTTAGATATTAAGAAATAAATATATTTTTCTAATATCTAATAAAATTTTAATTTTTATTAATTTTAATATTAATATATAAGAATATCCCTCTACTCTATCTAGCTAGTATACTAATTAATTAGTAGGTTTATATTTTAAAGCTATAGTAACCCTAGTATAACTTTATAGTTCCCTAGTAGTACTAAGTTATAGATAATATTAAATTTTCTTTTTTAGATTTTAATTATAAGATAATTAATCTCTAAATTAATAATTCTATTATTATATTTAAACTTTAAATCTTTAATATTTATAACTATATAGGTTTTTTTTTTTTTTTTCTATAGTAAATAGAGTTAGTTAATTACTACTAGTAAGATATAATTTTCCTATACTCTATAGTTAATAAATACTATAAGCTAGTTCCTCTTAATCTCTACTTCTATAAGAATATATATAGAGCTTCCTATTTTTATAGCTTCTAGAGTTTTCTAATCTATTACTAATATTATATTATATTATAACTCTATTATAGATAGTTTAAGTTATTTTTTATCTAATTAATTTATTCTTATAGTTTATTTATTAGTAATAATATATTTTACTTATTATATATCCTATTCTATTCTTATTTATTAGTAGAGATAATTTCTAGTTCTTTCTTATTATTACTTTTCTTACTATCTATAAATAAAAATTAACTATTTAAATATTATTCTTATATTTCTTCTTCCTATAGTTATTATTATTTAAAATATAATTTAATAGTATTTATATTATTATTACTATTCTATACTAATACTAGTATTTCTTATTTAATTTCTTAGTAATTCCTATAGCTCTAGTTATAGTATAACTTAATATAACTACTATAATTATATATAGCTTATTCTTCTACCTACTAGTAGTTATACTATAGTCTAATCTTATTATCCTTATAAATTTTATATCTCTATTCTTAATATATCTCTACTAGAAGTTCTTCTTCTATATATTCTTTTAGAGTATTTTCTTAGATCTTTCTTAAAGATAGTATAAGATTCTATTCTATAGTATTAGTAAGTAAACTATTATATTTAAATTATATTATACTTTCTAGATATTCTTCTATTAAGAAATAGAAAAAAATTATTTACTATTTTTTCTTATTAATATATAGTATATTAGATATTATAGTATATTATTTAGAATTCTAATCTATAGTTATACCTTCTGCTAGTATTTATATATATTAGATTCTTATACTTATTACTAGGGTATTAGATAGTATCTATAGTATCTCTTCTATATAATACTATTTCTTATATCTTTTTAAAATTCTATATTTATATTTTTTATTAATAGTAGGTATAAAGCTTATTATATTTAGTTTTAATCTTATCTCTAATAAATATATATTAGTTCTATTTCTTAGATATATATTTAATAAGTTTATTAATATAGTAGAATATATATTTATACTTAGTAAGAGATCTAATATTTATAATATTCTTTCTCTTTTTAAACTTCTACTTAAGTTCTTAAAGAATATATATAATATATTATTAGTTTTCTTCTAATACTATTTATTTCTTCTTTTTATTATTAGTTTCTAATATTTTATAGAAGTTTAGTATAGATTTTCTAGAAAATATAGAAATTATAATAACTATATAGTTTCCTTCCTAAGTAATCTTTCTAACTATTCTAAGTATTTTAATCTTAGTTTTCCTAGTTACTTCTAACTATTTCCTATCTTCTCTAGTAGATTTCTAATTCTTCTGCTTTTTAGATTTTAGATATTATAATATAATATATCTAATCTTATTATAATTATAATACTTATATTTTTCTATAGCTCCTAGTTCTATAGAATCTATATATATTCCAGATTCTATAGATAGTAGTAGGATTTATTATATTCTCTAATTAAGTTTATTCTTAATATAGTTCTAATTAGTATATTTACTTTCTTTCTATTATTATCTCTTATATAGATAGTTATTAATTTAAATAGTATTTACTATATATTCAGATAGATCTTTAGATTTATCTATTTTAAAAAGTTAATCTTTAACTTCTTCTTTAAATCTATTATAGAATATAGCTTTAAGGAGGCTATTATTCTAATCTAGTTAGATTAAGATTTTCCTAAACTTAGTAGTATATTCTAATACTAATCCTATCTATTATAAATTCTTAAGATCCTTAATAGCTTATTATTCTTTATCTACTTAACTAAATACTAAAATAAGTAAAATCTAGAAGTTCTTATAGCTAGTAAGAGTATTAACTATCTCCTAATCTTATAAGCTTAGTATAACTTTATTATTATATTAGTTCCTAAGATAGATCTAGAATTATTATCCTATAGTATTATTAAGATATATTCCTATAAATCTAACTTTATCTTTATTTATTATAAGCTTAGTTAGAAAGAATTTAAAGTATACTTAAAATTAGATCTTAAATTCTTCTAGTTTATTAGTATTACTTAAGAAGGGTTCTAAGGGGGTTAGTTATATTATCTTCTCTTTATTCTTTATCTCCTTCTTCTTAAGTTATTTAATTCAGACTATAAGCTATTATATAATCTTCTGAGCTATTAGAGCTTATAGGGTATTATTTAGTAGTTTAGTAGGAGCTATTTTATCTTTTAATATTATATAGTAATTAAGATAAGGTAATTAGCTAAATAAGAGTTATTAATATATAATAGTTAGATAACTTATACTAGATAGGGTTTAGAGTAGATTAGGATTAAACTAATTAGAATATTATTCTAAATAGTATAATTAGATTATTTTAAACTATATAATATAAATTATTATTAATATATAAGTATTATAGAGCTAGTAATAGTAGATATATAGATAATTATATTAATAACTATTTAAAGGAGTATTTCTATCTAAGAAATAAATATATATATATAATAGTTATAGAGTATAAGGAGTATATTACTCCTAGTAATCTATCTTTATTCTATAATAGGAGTATAATACTCCTATTACTTCTATTCTTTAGATAATAGGGTATATATAACTATATAATCTATTATAGAGACTTTTATTTATAATAACTATTTAATATATTAAATAGTATTAAGTTATTATTTTATATAGTTAATATATAATAGTTTTATATATTTTTAGTTTATTAACTATATTAGCTTTAGATATCTAATATTTTAACTCTAAAGTCTTTAATTATCTAATTATAGATTATTTCTATATAGAAATTAGTATTATCTCTTAATAGTTTATAGAAATCTAAATATTTATTACTAATATTACTTACTTCTTTATTAGTTTATAAATAGAATAGATTACTTAATATTTATTTAATATTAGCTCTAATATAACTATTATTCTATTTAATAAAAATACTATTAATAAGAAAGAACTATTATAATAATTCTATTAGTTTTCTATAATTAATAAAGTAATTAGTAATCTATTATTTAAACTTATTAGATATAATCTTATAAAGAATCTAATTATAATACTATATTCTCTTCTAAAGAATTATTATATATACTATATATAATACCTTCTATAGGTTTATTATAATTATTAAATTAAAACTAGCTAGATTTCCCTATAATAATATATTAATATATTATCTATAGATAGAGAGAATTAGAATATTATTAAACTAATTTAAATTTAAATTTATTATTATTATTTAACTAGATTATATATCTTAAAATAATTAGTTTTTAGCTTTCTAATTATTAGATTCTAAATCTATTATATTATTTCTAATTAGTTAATAGATAAGTTTAATATAATAATATATTAATATATTAGTATATTAATATAATAATATAATAAAGAAATAAAAAATTAATAATATAATAAATTATCTAGAGAAAGAAAATAAAGAAGAAATTATTAGTTACTTTTAATACTAAGTAATAGATAAATAAGAAAATAGTTTAATTTAATAAGTTAATAATATATTAAGTTATAAATATATTAAACTTTAGTAGGAACTAGCTAAATATAAATAAACTAATAAAATAAAAGATAAAGAATCTAGAGAATATAATAATTAGATTACTAGATATTTAATAAACTAATATAATAAATATATAAATAGATAAAAATATATATTTAATATATAGAAATATATAGAAAGTAGATTAGATCTATTAAAATAAAAAAATAAATAGATAGGAGAAAAAATAAATAAATAGAATAAAGAAATTAATAATAAGATATTTAGATCTCTTTATAGATAGTCTTAATAATCTTTCCTAGCTAAATAAAAGATTAATTATACTATAGAAAAATAAATAGATATTAATCTGATCTATTAATCTATCTTAGTCTTCCAGACTAATCAGTATAGTTTAATAAGGAGCTATATAGTAAGGTAAAAAGTAGTAAAATAAGCAAAAGAGTAATAATTAGGATAAAAGCTAGCTATTAGAAGGTTCTAACCGAAGGTTGGATAAGTATACAATTAGTCAGATCCACCCGACCAATCGATAAGATCAACTATCGATAATCCGATAAGAATATCCACAGATTCCAAAAGCATCAAAAGTGGCTGGGATAGAAAGAATGCCGAGGCCAATGCAGAGCTTCATCATTTTGATGACGGTGCCGACCCATCCGACCTACTCCTTGTTATTCTATTGGACTGAGAAAACGAGAGTATAGTTAGCATCTTCAAACAACTCACGCTTCTGTGTTTAGGGCCCTCGGCCGTGATGTCCCCGAAAACTGCATCTTCGGTCACGGTCTGCCCGTTTGCGATGCTCTTGGCCAAGGGGTCTTCTGGATCTTCGTGCAAGTGATCTCTCTTAGATTCTTCCATGATGGGCAGATAAAGGCAGAAAAGAGGATGAGAAATTTCCTATTAAACTCTGAGTATGGTAAACTCGTTACTAGGGAGTTGATGTCGATTGGAGCTGAAGCTGAAATGGAGGAGTGCGAGATAACTAGTCTTTACAGATCTGTGCCCCTGGGCTTGCTTCGCCTCGCAATCTGATATCAACCAGGGAGCTTGTTGTTGGAGACGATGAAAGCCAGGCATCATGGGATTACTTTCCCAATACGTACTGTGAAAGAGACCCAAACCTGACTCGCCAGCCGTATCGAGGAATTCGTTACGGGTCCCTTCCCACAAATACGTTTCAAATGATCCACCCTTCGGTGGCTGGCCAGGTTTAAATCGGCCTATAAGTTCGTAACCAGCCAAAGTACCATGTCTGATAGTGATCCAGCCCTGATAGCGGTTACTCGGCCAGCTGAAAATAACTCAATAGATATAGGTATGAATGCGTTTTCATCCCTAGGGGTTCGGGGCGGGATCTTCGGAGTTGGGTAGATGGTACTAATAAGCGAACAATGGCCAAGCATGATCTCCGTCGTTGGAATACACTAGAGTTGAAGATGATACCGAGCGCAATTACCGACTTTCTTATAACAGAAAATATTAGCAATACAGTAGGGGTCCAAAAGTTTATTAATACTTATAATTAGCTATAATCTAAGTAATAACCCTTATAATTAAAATATATATAATATAACTAATTTTATAGCTATAAGTAAGGTATTTAATTTATTTTACTTATTTAAAGTACTATTTTAATATTTTATATATTATCCCTTTACCCGATATACAGCCTCTACCCTATAAGATAGTAACTTAATCAGTATATAGATCTTACTCTGGGGGATAGCTACCTATACTTTCTATAAGTATTCTTTAAATATCTTAATATCCGGCTTATTTCTATATAAATTAGCTAGCTAAGGGAATATTTTATAAAGCTATCTCTTTAATATTATCTATATATACTTAATAGGGTTAAGATCCAGGTTATAACTAGGCTAGTTAATAAATAAGATTATATAGTTAAGGAGGAAAGCTTCTATTATATAAGAGTAATAAATAGAGATATTATCTTACTGAAAATAATATATACTATTATAAATTAAAAGTAAACCTTTCTCTAGAATAGTAATATAACTAGCAGAGCTAAAGCTCTTCTTCTTAGTAAGCTTATTATATATTATAATTACTAATTTACTCCTGCTTTCCTTCTATATAGCTACCTATACTATTATCTTAATTTCTAGCTATATATAATCTTAAATATTAATAAATTTAGGATTATAAGCCTTATATATATATCTCTAAACCTATTTATTAGGGCTTAAATAGCTATTTTAGATTATATACTTATCTAAAAAGATAATCTAAATAGCTATATTAGAACTGAACTAGTATATTATATTTATTTATATAAACCTCTACTAATTTATCTTCTTTTTTACTCTAGAAATATATAAAAGTAAGCTGCTAAGTAGCTACTTCTTTTAATAATACTATCTATTTCTTAGACCTCTATTTATATATATTATTCTTATTTAAAGCCCTCTTAATAGTTAAGGAGCTAATATTAAGATCTAGATCTATAATAAGCTGTTTCTATATAATATAGTAATCTGTATAGGTACTATAAATAATAGTATACTTTTCTTAAGGTAAGAGAACCTCGGACTATCTAGATCTTAGAGATATCTCTAAAGAGTCTATTTCTTTAAAGTATTAAAGGATCTGGGTTATAGTACTTAGTAATATATAAAAAGTATATATAATAGTACTTTACTTTTAACTAGTTATAACTACTATAATAATTACTATATAAATATTAGGTTTAATTTCCTATTTAAAGATATAATTTCCAGATATAATATTATTAAAAGCTCTTAATTCGAATATTATCTTATAAAATTATATATATTTGAAAAGTAAGGGTTATAGTATTATATTTTGAAAAATATATCACGGATATAGAGGCACCGTGTTTTTTGATAAACTTTTGGACCCCTACTGTAACACACTACAATATTAAAATGTTCCAATAGATACCCTTATTTCCCAAATAGACTGATGAACAGTGCAACATTTCTCCAACCGCAATCTAGGCTCTCCCCGCTATCAAAACCGTGGGCCGACTTGTGGTGTAATTTGGGGTGCATAGTACGGGGTTCTGTGATGCGGAGGCGAATTCTTGATCGAATGTCTAATGAATCCATGACATATATATTCCTCTTCTGGGCTTCTCCCTCATCTAATAGCTGTAAGGGATGTCTTCGGACGCAAGGGGGTAAATAGGAGGAAATTAAGACACGGTCGTTCACGCACACTTTCACCTAACGCTCGTTTACCCCACCCCAAATATATCAAACAATAGTTACAAACGGATTTTAATAATTAACTAATCTATTATATTCTAAATACTAATTAATTAATTTTATTTAATTTAATTTTTTCTTTTAATAAACTTTTTAATTTGGCAAGCCTTTCTTAGAGTTTTTAGAGAAGCTGTTGCTTTACCTTAGCTTATATAAATAAAAAAGTAAAAAAAATAGAGTCAAAGGTTAGATATAGACTGAAACTTAGTTAAAAAAAAATTATATAGATCTAGTTATATATAGTCTAATCTTAGGATATCCCTTATATATAATAAAAATCTTTAAAAAAAAAAAAAACTTTTTAATAATTTAATTTAATTTTATTCTTTTCTATTTATTTAATATTATTAATTAAAATAAACTTTTTATTTAATTTAAAAACTATTTAAATTTAAATTAATTTAAACTAGTATATTATTTACTAATACTATATATAATATATAAAATTATAATAATTATTAAATATTAAAAAAATATTTATATAATTCTCTATTTTTTTATTAGTTTTATTATAAATAAAAATATATTCTAAAATTAGATAATATATAATCTAATTATATAATTTTTTAAGAATATAATTAGTAGTTTATATCTAAACTTTTAATATTATAAGATAAAATTAAAATTAAATACTTTTAGTTTAAATATAAATATTAATATCTTAAAAACTCTAATAATAGAAATAATTTATATAGCTAGATATATAAATAATCTAGCTATAGTTATAGTTTCTAAGAGAAAAAGCTTATTATTTAATAAATATATTTACTTATTAAGCTTATTAATTATTAATTAATTACTAGATATTTTAAATAATAATAGTTATAATAGCTATATCTAATATAAATATTCTAATCTCTTAAAATTTAATTAATATTTCTAATAAAGCTTTTTAAAAGATAATAACTATTATTAGAAATAATATAAAATAATTATTTATTAATTATATTTAGTATATATTACTCTAGTTAGTTTAAAACCTACTTATAATAATAAAGCTACTTTTTAATAGTATAAATTAAGTAGTTATATCTACTTAATCTATTACTTTATTATATAATCTATTTAGAACTATAGTAAATATCTATAGAGAATAGAGATTAGTTAGAAAAAAACTATATTTTAAAAATAGCTATTTACTTATATAGATCTATTATAATCTAATATATAATTTATAATTTAAATATATTATATACTATATTAAAATAATTAGAATAAAATTAATTTTTAAAAATTAATTAAATTCATATTTTATTTTTAATTATCTAATTTAGATTTAGATTAGAATATTAGATTAGATTAAATTAAAATATTAGATAATTATTTATTATTAGTTAGAAATAATAAGAATAAAAAGTTAATTACTTTTAAAATTATAAATTATTTTATCTCTATAAGTATAATATATATTTACTATTATAGGAAATTTTTATTAGAAATAATATAAATTTAATATTAATTTAATATTTATTTATATATACTTAGTTATACTATATAATAAGCTATAAAAATAAGTTAATAATAAGAGATTATATTCAGAAGATAATAATAATTATATCTAAGTATAATATTTTCTATATTAATAAATTTTATAGAAAATTAAAATTAATTTAAGAAGTTATTATAATAGATTTTAAAATAAATATATATTAATAGATATATAAAAGAAAAAGTAAATAATTTATATCTTTTAATAGTTTACAAATATACTTATTAGTTAATATCTAAAGTTTCTAACTTTTAAACTTACTAAGTTATAATAATTAAAAGTTTTAGTTATTATAAATTAAACTCTATAAGTTAGAGTATTATTTCTACTATTAGTTATTATTAGTTATTATAAAGCCTCTATATTTTAACTTTTACTATTATAGGAGATCTAATATAGGAATAAATCAGAATATATAAGTGGAATATAATATAATTTAAAGAGCTATTTATAAACCAATTATTATCTTCCACAGCAACAGTCGAGAACAAAGGAGAGCAGAGAGTTAATAACTGCTCGGTTACCAGAGTCTTCCAGTTCAGCTCAGCTAGAGCCTAACTCTTGATAATGGTTGGCCGCATGTTCTGATTGGCTCGACCACCCGAGCGGCATAATGGTTATTAGACAGTGTCTCTATTAACTAGATTACTGTATTCCAGCCCCTTCCATGCCTGGTGGAGTGGATCAGTTAATAAGATTCGCTTTCAACCCTCGGCATCGCCATTTCCCCCAGTTCCCGCCCCGCGACTCGCCCATGAAGCAAATACCAAGTTAATCCACTAGCGCTGTCATTGGCGGGCTATCTCCACCTGCCCGGAATATCATACAACACCAAGGCCCACCTCGGTATGAAGACCTCACAGAATTGGCGGGGCCGGAACTTCGGGGAAATGAACATGCCTAGGTTGAAAGTGGATCTCATTGGAATAAAACGGTCTGGTGGGGAATAATGGTCGAAGGAGTAGTGACATGATCCTATCCGTATCGTTAGTATAGTAGCGGTCAGGAAAGCTGACACGAGGCCGGTAAGGGTTGTTCATAAATACGATGGGATCTTAATGGATTATAAATCTTTTTCACTTGGCAGCTTGGGCGTTATTTTGGACTTCTGGCTAGGCCTAAATATACAGATTGGAGGAATCTAAGCAACCCCATACCCAGCCACTATATACTTCCTTTGCGGTCAAGTGTCAGGATTTTGTTTAGCCTTTAACGAATTCTCTTACTTTCTTATTTCCAAGGTCTTGACGCAGGGAGTATAAGTGATTACGGACATAGCACTCCTATAACAAGAAGTCGAATTTCGAGCCTGCGATGGTATTATCCTACGCGGCTAGTTATACCCACAACAGGAGACATCTCCATGTATCATTATAACTCACGGTGTTTGTATACAATCCCCGATCTGTATCGCGTTAAAGGCTATCCGATCGCTAATATACGATGTTCTTACAGCTTGGTAGCACCCGCCACTTCCTGCTGCCAAATCTTACCTCGGCTTTTCAAGATACAGGATATGTGGTACTATTATATAACAACTGTAATTGGGGAGACAGTAATGGCCTACCCCGACAGGAGTCAAACCCACTGCTACAGCAAGCAGACTACCATAATGCATTTAACTACGCAGCTAAAGTTCCTTGTATCAATAAGGACAAGATCGTATACTGGGGTAGCAGCTTCTCTGGGGGGAATGTCATTTACGCAGCAGCGACCGACAAGCTAATCAAAGCAGCTATCATACAGTGTCCAGCCGTTTCAGGTAAGACAAGGTCTCTTACATTCAAGGATCGTATTCTGTTAGTATAACTGATATTGGAACCGAGGCTCCGGAGAGGCTGGTTAGATCAGTTAATTTAATTAACCTTCCTTCCTTGGCCTGCTGAACCCTTGCGAGGCCCCCGCAAGCCGGCAGTTGCAGGCTGCGTAGTTCAATAGTAGTTGAGTACTATCGCTCGAAGGGCGGCACCAGCTGCATTAGCTGCTTCAGACGGTGACAGACCGATAGCCAGGGGTCGGAAAGCGGGAGGTTGCCGCGAGCTCTACTGAAACCTGCCCGGCCCTTCTAGACTAGTGACATCATGGGGTTGGGCCACATAGCTGCCGGAACTAATGCCAACGGGGGCGACCCCGTTGGTTGAACCCGTGAAGTCTATAGACTTCAACCGAGCGGATAGGTAGCGAGTCAGCTAGGGATAACTATATCTCCAGCACAACGAAACTGGGATATAGGCGAAGCTAACTCAAAGATTCCTCAGATTGTAAGGTTTCTTATTAGGATCTCCTCATATCGAGAATATATATAACAAAGCTTAGGCTACCTACTCTATATAATTCCCGCATCATATCAGTCAAAATCAGGCCATATCGAGGTTGCAATGAAACTAAACACGCATCCTTGATGCATGATGTTCGCCACAATTGCGAGTTTCCCATGAGATACAACGCTGCTGCAACTTGCCTCGCCCTCATGAACACCTGCTCCACCTACTCTAAGACCCACGACGAATTATGACAGAATCTTATTATCTCAAGGCAAGGGGTCTTTCAAATGCCGGCGTTTGAGCTATCAGGGTTGAAGAGCTCACCCATCTGGATATAAATACTCCTTTGATATCGTCGGTTCGTTACTTCAAATTTCTGTCTATCACAAAGCCGAATCCCAAGGAGAGCTGCAGACAATTATCTCCTAAACCACCTCTATACGCTTTTGCCTCAAGCTCCCACGTTTTTATAGATCCATCATCTAAGCAATTTCTTTGAAGCCCTCCCTTTCAGAATGCACCAGTCCACACAACGCTCCAGTTCCGGGATCCCCCCCGGGTACAACGCACAGGTCGGAAAGCTCCAGACTTTTATCCTACCCGCCCAAGTAACTGGAACCGAGAGTGATAAGAAACTGGGAGAAGAGCTCGTGGCTGCCTTGCAGCAGGATGGCATCCTACAAGTTGCCATGACCTCAAAGCAGCAGGCGCTATACAAAGCTGCCAACGACGCCAGCAAGAGGTTTTTCCAGAAACCATACTCCCAAAAAGCCGCCTGTATAGACAGTCAGAGCTATGCAGGCTACATCGCTAGCGGCGAAGAATTGACCGATGGCCTAGCAGACTACAGTGAGATTTTTACTGTCACGAAAGATCTTGAACTTGACGACCCTCGGGTCCTCGCGAGGTGGCCATGTCATGGTCGCTGCCCATGGCCGGACGCCGACCTGCGAAACCCAATGAGAGCCTACATGGACTCTCTCGGTGAAAACGGCGAGAAGCTTCTCGCTCTGCTCGAGCAAGGGCTTGGAATACCCTCGGGAGCCCTGACGAATATGACTCAGGATGGTTGGCACCACATGCGTGTCTTGCGGTGAGTTAACTCTCGCCCGAGAATGCCTGAAATCGTTTTGCCGCTGACCCCCTCAACTTAGCTTCCCTGCAACCAATGATACTAATGGCAAGGGAAAGGATGGCCGTGGCATCGGATCGCATACTGACTATGGACTACTTGTCATAGCGGCTGCGGACGAAGTGGGCGGTGAGCTACCCTTGGTACGCTGTTGCCCCAACAAGTTTCTAACGGTGCTGATTGCTAGCCTTGTTTATTCGGCCACCTCGGGAGAATGAGTCATTCGCCAATTGGAACACGAGTGCAGCCGGCTTTAAGGAGGATGACGAAGGCTGGGTATTTGTCCCCCCAGTGGAGGGTGTCTTTACTGTCTTTCCAGGTCCGTTTTCCCCGGCGATGAGATGGAACATGAGTCACTAACGGCGGCATTCACTCTAAGGCGACATGATGCAGTATATGACCAATTCGGCCCTTCCCTCCACCCCTCACAAAGTTGGTCTCAATATTGATGAGAGATTTGCCTTTGCCTACTTCCACGAGCCTAACTTCCAGGCCGTCGTTAAGCCTCTCCCAGGCTATGACGCGGGTCAAGAGCCTCGTGGGGGTATACATTACGGGAAGCATTTCACAGATATGTTCATCCGGAACTACCCTGAACGCATCACTACAGAGAGGCTGCAGAGTGAGGGTCGATACAAGTTGTTGGAGACTGAAAGCCTTCGCACTATATAAGTGCAACAGTGCCTCTACAGACTGTTTGCAACACGGGTGGTAGCCTGCTGGCCGAGTGTAGTCAATCTCCTGCCTTTCCTCCACCAGTCATATTCAACATATGGCGATTTGCTCTTGAAGACTATTTCTACTACTTTCTATTCACTTCCATAAGTTAGGATAAGAAATAAACAACATGACAAACCAGGCCTAAATCTGCCATTGCAGTACACCGTACTAAGCCATGCTATGGCCAAATGTAGTATATTTGGATTTTTACCCTGGATAAAAGGAGTAGATTTGGGTATCCCAAAGCCCACTTTCATATCACTCCCATGTTGAAGATGAGAAAAAAGAAGATGTGATATGCTGCGAACCGGCCGCCGTGCTGCTAAAGCACTACTTCGGCCCATATCTCCAGTATTATACTACGCGATATTATAAGACCCCTTACCCGGGCATCTGCCTCGGGCCTATACTCTCCTCCGCTTGCCTTAGCTCCCTGCTACTGAACGGAAACAATGTAGGCAATATCTTTGTAAAGAACTATTGCTTAAAGGAATCAGTAAAGTCTTTACCTTTTAATAAAGAATATAGGGTTAGGATATATACTCTTGCCAGACTTCGGCTAACCCTATTAGTGTACTATTATCTATTTTATTATAGGAATTATATTAATCTATAGTAAAATATAATTAATATTTCTATTATATTCTAGAGCTATATATATAAAATACTTAATAGTTTATTTAATATTATTTATATTATATATTTTAATAATATTTTTATTTATTTAAAAATTTAAACTTTTATATTTAATATATAATATAAATTTTAGAATAACTTTAAAATATAGAATTATATATAAAACTATTTAGATATATATTTTAGTAATAATAATATTAATATATTAAATATCTCTAACTAGTAGTTATTAGCTAGAAGCTAGAAATAAAATAATTTATTTAATTAAAGCTATTTTAAAACTATCTTTATAACTAATTTCTTTCTATAGTTAAAATATTAACTTAATTAACTTTTTTTAATCTATTTAATTTATAATATATATATTAAAAAAGCTTTTTAATACTAATTAGTAGTTATATAATAGTTATAAATTAATAAAAGGAAAAAAAATAGAATTTTCTAAGTATTTAGAAAATAGATTTTTTCTATAAATACTAGTTCTATACTATAGAACTATATATAATATATAATATAATAATACTATATAAAACTATATTTAATCTTTTAATTAATATATAGTAATTTTATAATTAGTTATTATATTTTTCTTTAAATATTCTATACTAGTAATTATATAATTTATTATAATTCTAAATACTATTTAATTAATCTTATTTAATTTAATTTTTCTATTTAATAAACTTTTTAATAATTTAATTCTATTTAATTCTCTTCTACTTATTATAAATACTATTTTACTAATATTAAAATACTAATATTAAATTTTAAAAATAATCTCTATCTAGATTAATTCTATATAATATATTTTTAAAGGTTTTTACTATATATAAAGAATATTCTAAGATCAGACTATATATAACTAGATTTATATAATTTATTTTTAACTAATCTTTAACTCTATTTTTTTTTTACTTTTTTATTTATATAAGCTAAAATAAAATAATAGCTTTTTAAAAAAAAATCTAAAAAGAGCTTATTAAATATATAACTTAGCTATAAGCTCTAAAGGGGAATACTTATTATTAGATTTTATATAGTAGATAGATAAAGATTATATAGTTATATTCAGTTAAGTTATATAACTCTAGTATTTCTAAAGAGAATAATTATATAAATTACTATATATTTCTCTAAATCTAATATATTAATCTAATCTATAATATTAAATTAAATAGAAAGTTAAAATAAATTATTTAAAGTTAGATTTAAATAAATAAAGCTTATTCTATTAAAATAATAATTAGATTTATTATTCTTATTATTATTTTTATAGTTATATATATATAAATACTACTATAAATTACTATATTATATAATAAATTATAATATTTTTATAAAGTTAATTTATTATTTATATCTTTTAAAATATATATAAAGTTTATATAATTAGTTTATCTAGTTAAATAATATATTTAATTTAGCTTTTTATTACTATTTATTTTTTCTTTTCTAGTTTTTTTATATTATTTAGATCTTTTTTTAATATTTCTATATCTTTTTTATAATATTACTTTTATATTTTTTATAAATAGAAAATATATATAAATATTATTATTAATTCTATTTTAATTCTAAATTTTTTATTTTCTAAATATAATAATTTCTTAACTAGAAATAAAATTAAATAAAAGTTATAAAGTTATATATAGTAATATCTATTTAAAAATAATAGAAAATATATATTATTATATAAGTAACTAGTATAAATATATATATTATATAATAATTTAAACTTAGAATAATAAAATAACTTATATTTTTCTCTATATAATAAGTATAAAAGATAATTTTAAAACTATAAATAAGAATATATTTTAATTTCTAAATATATTTATATACTAATTATAATTTATATAGTATTTAAAATAATTTAATTATACTACTTAGAATAATAGTCTAATTAATTTAACCCTAATCTACTCTAGACCTAATCTAGTATAAGTTATCTAACTATTATATAATAAAAAAATTATTACTAAATATAACTTTAAGATTTAAATTTTATATATAGCTAGATATAGTTATTATTAGTATTAAATCTTATATAGTACTAGATAAAAAGACTAAAGTTTAATATATTATAATACTAGATATATTATTAAGTTATTAAATTCTTAGTATTTAGGAATCTCCCTTTTTTTTTTCAGTAGCTATATAGCTCTCTTACTTACTACTGGAATACTATTACAGAGGCGCTATCTAGTATAAATGATGCGGCAATAATGGAATGAGAGGCCAGGAATTATCGTTCTTATATAATCTTGCTAAGAAACTATATTATCGCAAAAAGGATGCATCATTAAGAGACATACCTTAAGACGAGGTTATTATCTCATTATATTATTTTGAGTCTACTTGTGAAATGTGCAACACTCATATCAGTACACTGAATCCGACACATTGCTATGATCTGATATCAATAACTGCACATAAAATAAGGCCCAGAATCGAGGGATATGCCTTCTTCTGGCTAAAATTGCAATTTGGCAATCATTTCCTCCCATTCCTTTTTCATATTCTCTGCGAAAGTTGCATTTTGTAGTACTTCGAGACCGGTCAAAGCAAGAGCCTTGGCAGTAACGATCGCTTGATCGAAAGCGAAGTCCTGAGTTGGAAATGAGCATAAGCATCTGAATACATCTATTAAGCTTCACGTGGAGTAGTATTAATGACGACTTACAGTGCCGGCGACCTTGGTAAATCCGCTGTTATGATTCGGCGCGCTGCCACCGATGGGGAATCCCACTTGGATGGATGGCAGGAACCACGAAACGTTGCCCTTTGTTTCAATATGTTAGCGAAATACAGTAACATTGTCCAAATCTAGCAGCAAGAATTCACCTGGTCGGATGAGGCCGATGGGCTGCCTCCGGCCTTATATTCTTCTTCCGGAGTTGAGATGCTGAATTTTGAAGTAGACTCGTCTTTTGATGGGTCAAAGTGCTCGATCAGGTGGTCATAGTAGTTCTTGGCTAGTTGGAAGCTAGGATTCTGGTCCCAGTAGTCTTGGACCTTGGTGAGAAAAACAGTCGTGTTTGTACCACTAGCAGAGCCATTCACAATGGAGTTCAACTGCTCAATGACGGCAGCCTGTCGAGCCCTTTCAGGATGGATAACCTTTCAGCAATTGAAATGACATGGGCATAGCTGTTGATGCGGAATTCTTACCGATTGGTGCCACGGACGCCCCATTCACTTTCTACCCTGTCCGGAATAACATTCGTGACGAGATTGTTTGTGTTTTGGATGACGTGGTGAATTCGATCGGTTGACATAAGCTGCTGGCGGTATAGCCCCGTCATTTGATATGCAGCAACAAATCCATCCAAGGCATTTTGTCCCTGCCAAGGAGCCAGTGCAGCATGTGATGCCTCTGCGCGGGAACAATCAGTCCTTAGATGTGGCCAGGGAGGAATATGAAGGGAGGGCGGACTCACTTCCAGTCCAGGTAACATTGGCTCTCCAGGAAGCAAGAGTTCTGCTCCATGCCCCGTATGCGTTGTTTCCGGGATGGGCCATCAAGCTACAGTCCAAGTCCTTGTAAGCACCGGCATCCAACATTTTGATTTTTCCTCCGATGCTCTCCTCGGCGGGAGTTCCTAGAACACTACATATTCCAGGCCGTATTAGAATCGCCACTAAGAAAAAAAAGCTTGGTAGAAATGGAAGATGCTCACACAACAGTTCCACTGACCCCTTGATGCTCCAGAGCCTCTTTCACACCAATCGCGGCAGCGACACCAGACGTTGCAATGAGATTGTGCCCGCAAGCATGACCGATACCGGGTAGAGCATCATATTCGGCGTTGAAGGAAACTGAACGTCCTTCTCCACTAGAGTAGGTGGCCTTAAACGCTGTACTCAAGTTAAACGCCGACCGGGTTACTGTAAAACCCTGGTCTTCGAGGAAATTGGTCAAAATCTCATGAGCATGGACTTCTTCCATGGCTGTTTCTGGGTTCGCCCATATCTGTTTCCCCCTCAAGTTAAACAAGAATGCTTCCACGCGTTGGATCGTAGTAAGTTACCTCTTGATTGACGGTTTTCAACTGAGCGTTGCGACTATCGATCGCTGAGAATACCTGCTGTGCTAGCCCATTGGTGTTGTTCTGGCAGGTAGCTATTCCTGCCATAGACAGTGCCACAAGGCTGATATGAAGGGTGGCCTTGATCGTCATGGTATTATTTCACGTCGTGTAAATCACGATGTATGCATTGAGGGGTGAGTTCAAGAGGGGTGGCCAGTCCATGAGCTTTATTTAAACCCGGGCCCATTGATCGAAACGCTGACGATATCACGCACAGACACAAGCCCGGTGAGGCCTTACGGCCCGACAACGGTCTTCATTCGATTGACTAGTTTATAGTACGAATAGAGATATATCCGATGACCCTAGGCATTCCGAGACCGCGAGAAGACGGGGCACCAGTGGTGGAGCGAAAGCGTAATTGGCTTGAGTATGTTTGGACTCCTCCTATTTTGTTCGTAGCGCGTTTTCGTCCGGGATCTTTTTGCAAGCTAAGCATCCTGGTTCATTTAACCATATTTCCTGAAATTTGAACTCCACAACTCGCTGAAATTAGAAGCTCTAGAGCTAGAGATGATGAAGAAATAGCCATCCCTCTGTTTCTTGTCTGTGAAGAAAGTCACACCCGAACAGGCGGCAGGCTAGCTCTCGCCTTTCGACATCCCCAACAAGCTGGCTTTCATTTTCATATACGTTCGTATCATACTACCCATGGCCACATGGCCCCTGACCCCTAACCCTAAGATTTACAGGGAGGACTGGACTAGGGAAGATAAGACCTTTCAGTTTTTGGGAGGTGGTCTAGAGTTGTGTCCACTGTGGGGAGAAGGCAATGAAATGGGGCGAGCTGGCACGTATACGCGCATAGCACCTTGAGTGTACATAACATGGCTTAATTAGCTCGTGGAGAACATAATCCTTGGGTTCGGGGAAGTCCATAAAGTGCACTTTGCCGGAGGTTGCTCCCGTAAACCCTCAAATAATATCGCGATATGCATATGATAATAAAAGAAAGAAAGAATAAAAGAAAAAGAAAAAAAAAAAAAAAGGAAAAGGGACACATTCCTGTCAAGAATGAATAAATGGAAGAGACGGTTGAAGCAATTGCGATGCATTTGCTCCGGTAATTTTAAGAAGTCAGCTCCAAGACAATGCACAATTTGTTTCTATTCGGGGACCTGGCAAGTGTCAGCTTCCTTTTTGTCGATGGATATGATAGAAAACTACCATTACTTGGGCAAGGAGCAAAAGTTCCAGTTCAGACTGGTATAGAGGGCTGATCTAATCCAACCAACTTGATCTCCATGAAGCCACCATCCGATGAGTCCAATTAATTGCTAACGACCATGCAATTTGCTTTTAGAAGTCAATACGAATAGAATAGGGGATGTATATTCTGCATGTCACGTACCCTTCCCATCTCTGTGAGGTCTTCATACATGGCCGTTATTACAGCTTACATCCTCAACAAACTGGCTATCCTGTGGCAAACAATGAACGTGTGCATCATCAAGCCTAACGGGTAAGTAGTCTCCTTACCTATTCTGTGCATTGCACCAAATTTTAAGCTTAGAATGGCGTACTGAAATCAACGAACAGATGCTTGGCTGCATGAAGCCGATATTGTAGTCTAGATCATTCCTCCTTGGCTCTTAACTGATAAAGCCCGGGTGCCTATATCAAAAAACTTGGGAAAGTAGCTTGATCCTCCATCAAATACTTAGTAATAAGATGATTATGGCTTTTGGAACACCAACCCTACATCAAAGTAAGCGACAAGGTCTCCCTGGGAGGAACCGGACCCATTCAGGTGAATTCTGTCCTAGTTGCCAACGGGGAACCTACCCGCCAGCATAGTGAGCTCTGATACAACTATATCCTAGAGCCCTAGACCAGATTGTAGCCGTTGTATTTCTTTGCCACACACGCGGATTCCTTCAGCACAACGAACGATGTTTGCTTTGACTGCTACCAAGCAAGCATCTCCAGGTATCTTGACAATATTTACTCCCAGCTTGAAAATTTCAACTTGGCACGGCACAAGATTACTTGAGACAAGCTGTCGTACCGCTGTTGAACCTGCGTTTGAAGAGTCCTCAAGCCAAGCCGTATTATAGAGTATCTTCTCCACTGAAGATGGTAATCCATGCACAATATATAGAGCGTACTGTTAGTATACCTAGATATTGAACGAAACCGATAGGTAAACGAAGATGGCAATTTATATTACGCAGGCTAAGCAAATGCCTTTCTATTACCGAGTAGGGGGCAACTGGCCATCCCCCATTGTTTCTATTTGACTCGGAAATTTCCACGCTAGAGCCCTCTCTAATAAGTTTCACAAGATGTCGAGCATGAGTGTCGATGGAGCTTGGTGAGGCTACTCTCACCGTCTCGCTGCTTATGATGAGAGCTCCTACAGTAAGAGTGTTCTGACAAGATTATCCCATCAAAGATTCGAAGCAATGGAGGGTGCTTTTGCTTCACCAGGGGTGGCTCTATTCAACATCCAGTCAGTGCAACTCTTGAAGACAGATCGAAAGATTCAGATGCTTACCCTTCCATTCCAGCACCAAAATGTACCGCTATCCCCTTCACCCTTTTCAGAAACGACATGAAGGATCGCGGATACGCTCTCAGAAGGGCTGATGGATCCCTTCACTTCCCAGCCGGGCTCAGCGTCAGACATTTCGCTGATCACATGGTCAACAAGGGAACCCTCATTGGGTAGCAAATATCACCTATGTTTTTACCCCTCCAGGATGAAGCGCTAAAATGACTGTCCCACGTTTCTTCTGATCTGACCGTTGCAGCTCGGCCGCCATGTGGCGTAATATTTGGTTGAGCGCGCTCTTGCTTGCGGCAAAGGCTCCAAATTCATCTTCAAAATCCAAGAACCGAGTTGCCGACCCAGAATCGGATGAGATAAAGATAATCTTGGGAGGCGGATAATCCACGCTGGGATCGAGCAGTTTCCGTGCGCCAATAATGGGCCCGACGGTATTGGTATGTAGATGGAGAGCAAAGTCGGAGAAAGACACTTCAGTCGCTCGCCCTTGGTACTTCAACACTCCCGCGTTAAGCACGACATTTCCGAGCATCATGCCCTTACCTAGAGCAATCCTTAATCTTCCTATGAATGACTGCGCTATTGTCAATAGTTATTCACCCCAATCTGTGCTGGATCGCGGAAGTGCAGAAAACATCGCACAGTGATACTTTCATCGCTCGAGATATCACATTGCTCCACAATGCATCTCTCTTGAGCATTTTTGGAAGCAATTATCTCGAATAGTCTTTGTGTAGTCGACCCATTGTGAAATGCTGCACCTACTCTACTGACTCCAGCAGTCACTTGACAAACTCCAAGCCTATTCCTCGAGAGGCGCCTACAGTCACCCAGATCTGCTTAGCCGCAGGTTTGTCACTCCCTCCCATGGTCAGCTATGAAATGAAGCCGATATGCCCTTTACCATCTGAATATAGCGCCTGCTGGTGTGAGGTGATGGGACTTGAACTGCTTTGGAGCTGGACGAGTTTAAGCTTGGCCAAAATCGATCCAGGCGATATCGACGCCCGGTCATCACGAGATAGGACTCGAGGCATCCAGGTCACTGAACGAAATTTTATGAGCCGAGGTCCTTCTATTTCCAAACAACCGGGGCCCAAGTAAGGCTGACTTTATAGTAGGCGATAAATCATAATTATTAGGTCGCCACCAGGTCTTCTTCTCTCCATAAGTTTCATGCATTCCGTGCTTAGCATGCCCGCTTCTCTATCTTCGTTCTCTTGTATTCTTTTTGATTGACACAGCTTGAACTATATTTTCATTCCTCTTGAATTGCACGGTAATCCCGAATCAGCCGGATGCAGTTAACCAGGATGCACGTAAGAAGTAATGCACTGCTGTTCAAAGTCAAGATAGATTATACTCAGTGTAGAAGGGAAAAAGCTGCAGCGGGCTACTAACGTGTTACCCATCAATCGAGGTTAATTGAAACACCAGCGATGTCCATGTTTGGTTGAAAGGACTATTTAACAGCAAGCCGGTACTCGACGCTGAGCGGACACGCTTCACTGCTATTCGTGCGAAGGAAGCTAGAAAGAATGAATATCAGTTATCTACTGAACCACCAACCGGTTGATAGCTATAGAAGGACAGGGAATGGCTAGTCAGTGTCCAGTGGCTCGCCATCACCAAAATTGTCCGCTAAAATGCTCCTGTAGTTCTATCCTTCGTTTCTCTGCAGCACTCCTTTGATCTGAAAGTTTCTTTATAACGTTCAGATCAATTTTAATCGGAGCCTCAAAGATCACGTTACTTTCCTTAAATACAAGAGCGAGGTGGTCAAGAAGGCTCGGGATCATACCGAATGAAGTCCTACCCCATACCGAGGAGAGTTCTAGTACAGAGTAAAAATGGCCATCAAAGATGCCAGATAAAACGATGAATACGAAAGGCGAAGAAGAAGAAAAAAAAGGCTCGGTCAGCCCAACGCTGCAGCCATACGGACGTAAAATTCTGTAAACCTTCAAACCGGTGACTCACTCGCCGTTGGGACCGGACCGGCCGCTCGTTAGGATCCCTACCACATTCACTGTTGTGAGGGGGCTGCTTGAAAAGAACGAGTCTGACCTCACTATAGTACATCTGCTGTCCGCTTTTCATAGAAACATGTAGGACATGAACTAATCTATAAGTTTGAAGAGAGAAAACAACACAAGAATAAATTTAGATAACCAGCCTAACTAAAGCCAGTAGCGTCTGCGAAATATACAGCGCATGTTATAGAACATACTCAATTTCCTAGAGAGGCTTCTAGATATGTCAATGAATCTCCCACATCTAATGTTCTCAAATCCCTTCTAAGCTAGCCAGGAGGACTCGGACGCCCGCAGACGGCGTGAGTGACCCCAGGATTAAGTGCAACGGCACAACCTTGTCTGGTAGGATCGTCCTTATGACACTAATAAGATATTAGTTAGGTGTCTCTCCTTTTCGTTGCTTTGGATTTGTACATGCACTTACTGGATAAGTTGTGGCGCAAGGCAATGTTGCTCGTTCGCCTTTCATATTGCAGTAATAACACACACCGGGATTGCCCGGACATGTCTAAATTGCTTGATGAGTTGCTGATCGGTAGAGAGATTAGGACAGTTCTTACTCCGTCGGAATTTGAAACAGCTCACTTGCCAAGCTTTCCCTTGATTTTGCAGGCAAGAGCCTTGGGTTTGCTTCCCGCGTCTGCCTTCTTCCCTTTGGCTCCCACAGACTTTAGTGGAGGGCTTTTAACCTTCGGGCGAGCAGCTTGAGCCCCCGGGAGGCGGGCTCTGGCTATGTGGGCAGGCACTTTTGTAGCCCTGCCAACCAGAGTGCCTCTTCTCACCGCATTGGCATCTTGCGGGTAAGCTTCAGCGCGGAAGTGCCCGCAGAGAGTAGGACGAATAATATACTGAAAAAGTCGAGAAACTTCATTTTGATAGCGGGGGGGAGAAAGAAAGAGAATGGAGCAAATTGTATCAAGAGTAAGTTGGTATTGGAGCTTTCTGTATAAAGTAGTGATGGAAGCATCCGAAAAGCTTGGTGCAAAGGCGTTTATTTATACCCCAAAATGATGAAAAGGCATTTGCAGAACAAAATGAGAAGGCTGCCAACGCCGTTGCATTCTCAAACTATTCTTAGCATCAGTAGAAAGTAGGACTGACGGGTTAAATGTAAAATATGTGTATTACAATCGTGACAAGGGCTGTGTACGAGTAAATCCGCGCTCTTACAGGCTCAGAAACATAATCAACCACGGATAGTTCGAATGAGCTGCCCTTCCAACATAGTGGCGTAGTTTTCAATATGTGATACCATTGGTTCAATTGTATACCTACTTTGTGTAGTCTTAACACTCAGTGATGTAATAGGAGTGTTTTTTCAGATATCTCAACCCTGACGGACAGTAGTGGATGGCTTACATGGGTACAGGGGATGATGTGGAGAAACGCTCAACAACCGTAATAAAGGCGCCAACATGCAGAAAGTAGAACCAACATGCGTAATACGACATGTCGTGTCATCCTACATAAGAGGGTAGGCGAGGCAGTCTAGAGGGAACCTTCGTGCGTAGACAGGGTTTGTGGACAGTACTGGGACAGGTTTGGATCAACCTAGATATGTAGGAGCCTAGCCCTGTCAGAACGCCATGTAAAGCCCGACAGCGTGTGGGACTTCTGATAGCCTGTTAGGCTTCCAATAGAATATGACCCTGACAGCCAAATCGTCTGGAAACCCCGGAATATCCCCCCAAAAAAATGGCTGTCGATATGGAAAGTTTTGATGACGGTGTTAGCGCTTGACAGGCTGCCCCCAGTGCTGTCCAAAAACAAGCCCTGCGCGGGATCGAAGTATTAAAAATGCTGTGATTTGGCTTTATGGGGTTTAGTATAACCTGGCTTGCATTTCGAAGAACACTAGGTACTCTACTGGACAATTGATGAGTGAATCGCGTCAAGGCTGTATGTGCTATGCAGTTGGGCGAGGCGAGGGGAAATGGCCCCCAATTTATTAATATACTGTATATAGTGCATAAAAGTCAGGGCGGTGTTGGTCAACAAGTATTATGAACAAGTAGTATGTAATTGAAGTATGCTCGCCTGACCCGAGTGAATTCTTTCTTGTTCATCGACCCCCTCCCTACCAACAACCACTTCTGTTCGGCTCATTTTGCCGCTGAAATCGTGCAATCATCGCACCACTTTCTTGTCTTATCCAGCTTCACCTAGTAATTCGCATACAATGAATGCAGCATGGCCCTGTGCAACCTCCCCGGCGAGTCTCAGCGCGATAGATGACCAACAGCAGCGGATTGATACCTTGGAACAAGCTGCCATCAACCCAGATGGAGTATCCGACCACCCAACATCCGACGCCATCCAACAGGACAACGAGCCATCTCAGCACTCGCTTTCCGAGCGGCGTCCACGACCCATTCTCATTACTCACTTCGCTCCAGAGCTTCTTCATTGGATTTTCGGTTTCTTTAAGCATCCAGCTATACATGACAACAGGATCAAGGTGGAAGATATCAACACGAGATTTGCGGATGGCGACTTTGAGACATTAAAAAGTCTCCGCCTTGTTTGTTCCCTCTTTAATCAAGTTGCAACAGACTTCCTTATGCCGATCCTCCGCGTGCAGATCGATAAGCCATCACTAGACCGAATACATGCTATCTCAAGAAATCCTCTTCTTGGGAACGGTCTGCGCGGCATCCAAGTCCGTGTGGGGTGCATGTCTCCTATAGAGAAGAGTTGTTCAGCCATCAGCGACGCCATGTTAATCAGCTGCTCAATTGTCACGCCTTCCTTCTGGGACACCGGGTCGAAGATGTGACAGCCGAAACATCCCCAGGCTGTATCTGGACTGAGGCGCGGTTTGTCATGCTTGAGAGGATCCGAGCTTGTGTCCTTGCATGCGACCGTTGCCTTGGCAGGGATGTTGGAGCCGTCCCCAGCATATCCAGCGTGCCGCAATCTGACTTGCAAGATGTTCTCAAAAGGCCCGTTGAAGAGGCGCTTATTGATGAGCACCAGGAAATCCTCTGCAAAGCCTATGAAGATTACGGGAGGCAATATGAGAGAGACTGGCCAGTGATATCAAGGGGCCTACTTATCAGCGCCCTGGCGAAGCTATTGTCTGGGCCATGCCGCTCAGTATCACTCAGTTTTGAGAGGCTTAATGAGTGGAAACAGCACTGGTATGCATTTAATGACAAAGAAGCATCGACTAAATGGCTAGCACGACCAAAGGGCTTATCTGAAGTTTCCGGACTAGAGGGGAAACCTATAGAGGATGAGCTTAAGGTGTATAGTGGACTCTTCTGGCATCTTCCAATTGCCATCTCTCAAACGGGGAACGTCTTGAACAGCATTCAACTCCACGGCCCACTAGTGGGCCATGAGTACAACATTATATGCCCCGAGGATATATCTCCCGCCATTCCAGACCAGCCAATATGGGACCAGCTTCAAATGGCATGCCAGAATCTGCAGGCATTCATCCTCACGAATGTTTATTTTCGTTATAAATTGCGCCACGACCGGTTTCCTATCACTGTTCAGAGCTACGAGCAGCAGCCCATAGAGGAGGGCGTATCCATTAGGAAATACATTGGCACTATACTTTCTGGCAAAACACTCGAGAGAGTAGAACTTGATGCTTCTGCACTTGATCTACGAGCACTGGGTAGAGACCGAGTCAGATGCCCACTTGGTCATGCACTGACTCGGATGACCTGCACGAATATGAGAGTGGTTTCATTGACAAACATCGGCATCTCTCAAAAGAAACTGGAAGCATTTTTCCAATCCCTCAATTCGGGCATGCAGCTGCTCAGCCTGTCGGATGTTCAACTCACTCATGGCAGCTGGGTTCCTGTTCTTGATCTGTTGCGAGATCTACTCAATGAGAGATGGGTGCACGGGAAATGTCAAGTACGACTATCACTGCTTGGGGGAGGCGAGATTGGACAATTGGAAGCCGCCCATAATAATGAAGAGGGGGAATTGCGTATTTGGAAAGACTTATGGGGCGGTTTATGGAATATATCCAAAACCAGCAGGTTGGTAAGAACCCGGCGATTGCGCCAGGGGTCTTTTCTTGAGTCTCGAGATACATCTGAATTCGAAATATCGCTATAAAAACAAGAAACTTTGTCTGTCTTTGCTTGGATCAGTTAGTTTAGTAGATTATATTTACTTTCAACCAGTCCCGTATGAAGGGCACATTGCGAATGTTATATTTACACAATGAGAACAGGGGTTACTGAGGCCCTAGTTGATGTGCTTAGTTTTTCCCAGAACGGAAAAAGGCACCGTATTACTTGCGGTCAGATTATCGCCATCAAGCAGGATCGAGCGCCTCCATAAAAGGAGCAGAGATGCTCGAACATGTCCCTACATTTCAAAATGCGAAAGCTCACACTCACACTTATCAACAACCGTTTCCTCAAACCCAATCATTTTTCCAGCCACAATGAGCCGCACAGCACTCGTCACGGGCGCCAGTGGGTATATTGCCCTCCACATCATCAACTTTCTTCTCCAGGATGGCTGGACTGTCCACGGAACGGTGCGAAGTCTGAAGAACCCTGAAAAATTAAAGCCGATCCTGGCATTAGACAAAGGCTCCCCTGGTACCCTCCGGCTTTTCGAGGCCGATCTACTTGATGCAGGCTCCTTTCTAGAGTCCATGCAAGGGTGCGATGTTGTGATCCACGTCGCATCGCCTTGCTTAATGCCAGAGCACGTCAAAGATCCCCAAAGGCAACTAATTACACCAGCCCTTGAAGGTACACGCAACGTATTGGAGAGCGTCAACAAGACGCCGTACGTGCGGCGGGTTGTTTTGACCTCGTCTGGTATGTATACTATTGTTCAACGCCAACAGCTGGTTCTAACACGATATAAAAAGAGATTGTTATGCGAGGTGACGCTAATGAAGCCTTCTCGATGGAAAATCACACCATCCATGAAAGCTACTGGAACGTAACAAGTTCTATAAGCCATAATGCCTACGCTTACTCAAAAACACTAGCTGAGCGCGAGGCTTGGAAGATGGCCGATGCCCAAAAGAGATGGAAGCTTGTTACCATATGCCCAAGCGCAGTTGTAGGACCCAGCCTCACTCCTAACTCGGCCTCAGCAAGTCTGGACCTCATTGAGCAAATAATGAATGGGTCTATGATTTTTGGAGTGCCTGATATGTACATACCTATGGTTGATGTACGGGAGGTGGCACTTGCCCACGTCCGAGCTGCCAAGGTACCAGAAGCTCGTGGTAGATACCTACTGTCGAGCCACGAGGCCACTGGTCTCTTGGAGATTGCGCTCATTATCCGATCATTCCATAAGTACCCCTGGATAATACCCTTCTGGAAGCTTCCCGACTGGATTGTTCGGCTGACTGCGCCTCTGGTGGGCGTGACAAGAAGGTATATAGACTGTAACATTGGAATCAAGTTTATGGTGGATAATTCGAGAAGCAAGACGGAGCTCGGGATAGATTACCGGTCTCTGGATGAGTCTCTAACTGATCACTACAATCAACGCGTCCTTGATAAAGCAAGGAAATAGGCTGCCGAAATTCTTACGAATCCTCTTTGTATTTTACTTTATTAGCTTATCAGTGCAATTGGTTTGTAGAAGATGAATTCGGGACTAGGCCTTGGAGTCGGCAGGTCATTTCACTTCATTCCCTAATGACCATTTACAGAAGGGATAAAGCGCCCCTTATGAAAAATCGTCTACAAATCACAACTCGGGCTTGCGCCAGATTTCAAATTTGAGCTGTTGCCGCTTCACTCGCGAAACCACAGTTAAAATCATCTGGGCCAAAGCTTTGGCTCCTTCCAACAGCCATTGCTCAAGGGACAGTGCGTCGCATGGCTATCATATACGATATATACTTCCTCCTTAATATAAACAACGCGGCTACCGCGTAGCTATTAGATTGAGAAGCTCTGCTGTCTTCTCCGGGCTGCTCAGAAAAGGGAAATGCCCCGTAGGGAGCATCTCCACCTGATCAAATTTTCCCATTGCAGCAAATCTTTCTTGGACCGCTGGTGGAACAACTTCATCCTTTTCGCAGAGGATGTATGTCTTTGGAACCCGTAAATCCGTGGTGATGAATTCGGAGACATACCCCAGACTTTTCCGACTTTGACTTCCTAGAACACTCGTCCATGCCGAATCCTGCTCCTCGCTTGGAAGGTCGCTGAAGAAAAGAGGCTTTGCTGCAGGCTGGATGTGGAAAATACCTTCCTGGTGTTCTAAAGTAAGTCTCTAAGGTGATGATTCTCGGAGTGCTGCATGATACATACCTCATGAACAAAATAAGACAGTGCGGGCGCATCTTCCAAGTTTCCCCTTACGTTGCGTCCACGCGTCCCATATGCGAATCCAGCAACCACGGCATACGCCTTTATGCCTCCCGGCAGCCCTTTAGCCGACCGCTCCTCAACAGTCTGTCCCTGAGTTGTTAGCAGGGCAGGCAAACTTCCGTAGCTGTGCCCGACAATGAGCGCCTTGCGGCCTTGGTCTAGCAAGGGCGTCAAGTCAGCGAGTATTGCCTGCACATCGTCCGGAAGATCTTTGTTCGCAAGGTCCTTGAATTCCTTCGTTGTGGGGTCCTTTGACGGCAGGCTTTCGGTCACTTTGAGCCGCGGAACAATGGCCTCGAAGCCGTCGTTTTGCAGTATATCTGCGACTTTAGCGTAAACATCGGGGCTGCAAAACCCGCCAGGGACGATGGCGATTACTGGCTTGGTTTGCGACATGATGGTTGCTTAATGGTGGAAAGAGAAGGTGTACAATACTTGAATATCATACAACAATCATTTAAGAGCAGAGGGGGTTAGCTTTTATATTAGTATAGAGACACAGATTCATTCATTTCACTACGTGTTAAGCAAATAGTCTCGGTGCTATCGGCCCTATTTACAAAAAGCCCATTTTTAAACTATGATTTGAGAAGTTAAAATGAGGGGAAGAGATAGCTTAGACCGCATCATTGGTGAATCAGATTGAGTTGGCGCTCCTCATCCCCTCTGACATTGAACAGTTAGGTAGCTCGTAAGCCGAGGTAAGCGCTGATTCCTAGATCGGGTCCACTTGGAAATTAAAACAGTTGGAAGGCATCACACCGATATGCTTACAAGTGGCACCTAAGCTTCACAACTTGGGTTATATCTTGCTAAACTAGATCCTATGTGAATAACACTCTTCTAGGCAAAATCTCCCAATTGGCCCTGTGATCGCAAAATATTTGATTCAATTGATGACAGACGCGCACCTTCTTATCATTGTATCAAGGGAATAGTCAAAGCCATTCGTCCTTTTGCTATCTTTATCAATGAACCAGTCCATGTATCCTTGTCCTCTTTAGCCTAATGACGGTGGGAGCCTTTCAAACTCTGCGTCAAATTCGCGTTGTTTTGCTACATATCTCTCTTCCCATTTCTCCGGTTGCGATGATAGCTCTTGAACCTGTCGCGGGACGGCATGGAGTTTCGGGCAATATTCCAACAGAGCATCCACGTCTGCTGCGGTGACGTCGCTAGAAAAGGTCACATGAAGGTCCTCGAGGTTGGTCATTTGCTTACAGCTGAGTATCATACGCTTCCCCAACTGGATCGTATGGGGATCGAGATAAACGTTTGTTAGCGTTGATGAATGCGAGACCATTAGAGTTTCGATGATTCGTTCGATGCGATCCGCCCACGTAGGAAGTGTTGATCCCGTTGTGTCTATATCGTGTATAGAAATTGACTTGAACCGCTGCTGAGGGGGTGACTGAGCGATCGCCTCAAGGTCTCCTTGGGTCAGGACACACCCGTATCCCAGATGTAGACTCTCTAGAACCTCCAGAGTTTTGACAACGTCCCCAAGGGAGCCGTTAGAAAACTTTATGTTGTCGACACGCAAAACACGCAGACTCTTTGTCCATATTTTGCATCTATTGACGAGCTCCTCACCGTCGGCAAGTCTACAGCGCATCTCTAGAATTTCAAGGTGAGGGGCGCAGTGCGACAGTAACAAGAGAGGATGGGGCCAAAAATCAAGATCTGTGTCTTGTCCGAGAGTCAAAGACTTGAGTGCAGGAGACAAACTAAGCAGCATCGCCCGTACGAGCCAATTCACTTGACCATGGAGTGCCAGTTCTTGTAACTGAGCACCGAACTTTGCAAAGCGGCTGTCAAATGTACAAAATCTATAGATTTCCTCCTGCTCATGCCCGTAACGAAGGTTCTCAGGTAGCCACTCAGTAAATGTTGCGTACCAAAACTGAGTAACCCTGGGACTTGCGGCGAAGATATTGGCCAGGTGGGTGACTTCCTCGAGTGTAATTAGCCCGACGTCGGACATGGAGGAGCCTCGTTGAATTTGTAGTTCCCGCACATTTGGACAGGCGTGAAGAAGTTCAATGATAAGATCGCTGTTGTCAGGCCGAGGATACCATCGGAACTCGAGCGACTGCACAAGATGTCCTCTCTGGGGCTCCAGAACTAGACTGAACATGAATCTCCATTGCCGCTCGATTGAGTGAGCGCCCCGGGGATGGTTGTACAAATGTGGCTCTGCGAGGTGACGAAGCAGTTTTGAAGATGCTGAAAGAGAAATCAGGGTTCTTTGTCGCGCTGAATACTCAAACTCAAGAACCTGAGCAGTGATGGCTTCGTAAATCTCAGTTGGCAGATGCCTGCAAACCAAGTCATCATTATTTGTCGTCAAATACCCGATGTGTGGGCCATCTTCTCCAGGGATCTCGTCAACCTGTAGGAATGCCGCGACCTTGTTGTAGAAGCCCAAGGCGAGACGAGCGCGTTGTTGCAATTCTTCATCGTTTGGATTATTTCTTGCCCGGCGAGTGATGATTCTGGTCAGTGTGGCAATCTGGATGGCAGCGTTCCGGGTTTCCTGGTCCGGATCATTCATTTCTTGGTCCGGATGGAATATTTCCTGGTCCGGATGGAATATTTCCTGGCCGTCATCCATGTTGGGTGGGTGGATGATGATGATGATGAGTTGGAAAGAAGGAAACCGCGTAATCTCGGATGAGGCCTAGAATCATGTTGGTCACGTGAGATATGTCTCAGCCGTACAAATGTCTTGGATGTAAGCTCGCGCCGCCCACGAATCCAACATGCGATAGAATGTCGCGATATTTGATCTCTTAGCGGAACCTGGCGCAACAGGCATCAGCAACTAGATCGGAATAAAAGTCTGGGCGGATGGTCCACCAGGTAAATCGGAAATTGTCCAACCAGGCTCTGGAACGAGCCTCTTGCCTAATAAAAACTCCAACGGGATTAAAAGTGAGTGGAATTACAGCGGAGTTTATCTCCTGCAAGTCAGCGGAGTTAACGTAAATCCTGGGCTCAGTGCGGCGTTTGGCAGGCTTCTCACTAACGCAAGCAAAAGGCTTACACCCCTTCAACTTAATAAAACCAGACAGGAAGCATGGAAATTTCCAATTAGCTTTCTTCTTTCGTTTCCCATCACTTCATGTCTACAACTTCTCGTCTCTAGTTGTCAAGATTTCCCTACAGACCGGTCTCGCTTCATTATCTCACCTCAATTATCACCTTCACCATGCATCTTATCCTCACTGGTGCCACAGGCCTGGTTGGCTCTGGCGTCCTTGATGCGATGGTCAAAATGAACGAGATTACCAAAATCTCCATTCTTAGTCGTCGGCCAGTGAAATTCGCCGAAGATTTAAAAGACCCGCGAATCAATGTTGTGATCAACAAAGACTTCGAAAACTATGACCCTGCAGTGCTTTCTCAGCTCAAAGATGCGACTGGCTGCGTTTGGGCTCTGGGAATTAGCCAGACCCAAGTAGATAAAGAGTACGTGGCTTCGCAGAGCTGGGCAATCTAGTGGGCGATTTCTAATTGAGATGAATCTAGAGAGTATGTCAAAATCACAAAGACAATGGCGTTGAAAGCTGCGGAGGCGTTCCAATCGCTACCGCCCAAGAACGAGCCCTTTAATTTTGTCTACGTCTCGGGGGCCGGAGCAACGACCACCCCTGGCAGATTCTCAGCCATATTCGCACGTATCAAGGGCGAGACGGAACTAGCATTGGCAGAGCAGCGCAAGACGAACCCTTCTTTCCACGCTTCTTCGATCCGCCCTGCCTTCGTGGATGCTGCAGCTCACCAAGCCATCAAGCCTTATCTGCCCGTGCCAACTCTCAGCATCAGGGCACTTCAAGGCGGCCTAGGGCCCATCATAAGGAATGCGATGCCAAGCCAATGGAGCCCGACTGAGCAACTAGGACGTTTCTTGACAGAGGTTGCCATGGGTAAACACAAAAGCGCCCTTGTTGCTGGGCCTGGAGTGCAGATGGTAGGCCAGTTTCCAATCGTGGAGAATTCCGTTTTCAGGAAACTTGCTGGGCTTTCATGAGTCTACAGCAGGGGAACATAATGAGGTGTTTTTGTTTTGTGTTTGAGGCGCTTCACTCAAGGTCTGTGCAGTTTTCCAGTGATTGAAGAATAATGATAATCAAAGACAATAATGTGACTATATCGTCATGTTTGAATTTGCGCGACCTTATGATCTTTTATCCAGTCTCCAACCTTCTCCTTCAGATGTGAGATAGATCCATCATTCACTCATGCATGAGTAGCTATATCTACATGGCCAATAATATTTATACACCATATTCATCAATAACACTCCTTGATTCAGCGAATCCATCGCCCAATCCCACAGGTGCCATCTTTAAGCCAAATCCTTCCGGACCACCAATCTTCATCCCCTTTTCCGTTTTCCAAAGCGGGTGGGCTGGTAACGCAATGACATTAACTCTAAGCCCGTACCGTAGATCTTGGGACCCGATCGCTTCGCCATCTTGGCCAAGAATCGAAATCAGATCAGGCACTGTGCAAACAACTTCCTCTGCTGCCTTCTCGCTTCCATCTGCCACGGGATCAGTGAGAGCTGCGTACAGATACTCATTCTGAAAGGGTATGATCATATGCTTGTCTGTGGCAACTGTCTGGCTAGTATGGTTGGAGCTTGACGACTCTCGGTCGTCTTCACTGAGGGGTGCGATAGTCACAGATCCCATGGTGTAGCCCCCGCCAATGAAGCGGCGGACGTCAACAATTTTTCCTGTGAAAAGGAGCTTTCCAGCACAGACATCAAACTATGAGAAATGACAAAAGTTAGTAAAAATCTAGATATAGAGGAATAGAAGGAGAATTGAGGGTTAAAGAGACAGGTATCAGTGCTCTGACTTACAATCGCGTCCACGTAGCTGGTCTTCTTCCGCCGTGCTAGGTGAACAGCGCGGCCAAGATACCACGAGAGAGACAAAGTGTTGGGAATACCACAAGACTTGATGGTCGATCCAGGTAGTGGATTAGCACACACAGCGCAGCCGAGCCCAAGCTCGATAGCCGACGTTCGCAAGAGACTTTCCAATCGAACAGGGTTGTCCACATTCTGGTAGGGAAAGAAGTTAGCTAAGGGCTCGAGCTCAAAGGAACTCCAGCACGGCAGGGCACTAGTCATACCATGATGATAGAGGTGTTCCCCCGAGCATCAGAGAGAGCGCACGGCGTGAGCGAGTACCCGTAAACACTAAATATTGCTACTCAAGTTTCAGCAGACTGGAGGCTTAAATGCGAAGGCTAGAGAGTTTGACTCATACCGTGATACATGGTAGGATAGGCTCTGCCCATGGCATCGCCATCAATCACAGGAACATCAAAGTAAACACTGGAAGGGAAAACACTCATTCCATTGCCACCTCCGCTATGTTGCTGTTAGTGAGAGGTAGCTTATAGCTTCGCTCGATAACGACGGAAAGGACTTGTGTGTATTGTGACTTACATTTCGTCGATATAAAGGCCATCAAAAGTCTTGTTGCCAAGAACCTTGTTAAGAGCTTCGATACCTGTGGCAATTTCCTTGCCTCCCGCGATACGTTCATTGATGACACTTGGACTGCCATACCAGGAGCCAAAGCAAACCGTGTCGTCATCCTTAAGAGACTTTGGAGAAATGATTCGCATCTTATCTTGAGGACTAGATCGTAGAGTTTGCAAGCTCTTGAGGTACTCGTGGTGCGTAGGGCCGCCTCCACCGGTTCCTAGTACACCACAACCTGTAGCAAACATCTCCAGATCAACTTCAGACACGTACCAGACGCCATCTCGTACTTCCGGCCGATACGTCTCCAGATCAATTTTAAGAGATGGCTTGGTGGTAGGTGTCAGAGCGTCGGCGACACTTATTTTTTGGCCCTCGTCTTCTTCGACGTCACTGTCGGCCTCGACAGCTAGGGTTGATGAAGGAAAAGCGAGATCATCCGGGATGGACAGGCGTCCAACAGCCCGGATCTGGATTCTCGTGGCGCCATTGTGCATGTACTGCAAGGGCATCTTATTTATTTCCACAATCTGGACGTCCTCAGGGGCGGCACCCTTCTCGATTGCTAAGTCAATAGCCTTTTTGCAAGCAGCGTCAATCATTTCCTTCTCGGAACGTCCTTCAGGGATCTCCACGACGTCGATCTCGCCTGAAACTTTTGCAATGGCAGCACCAACAGCATTGGCGGCCCCTTGATGTATAGGACGCAGACACTTCTCCACGCCGTCCAAGTCTTCTGTGACCAGAAGAGCACCGCCTCCGACGAGTAGGACGTGGACAGGTGCAGCAGAAACCTTCATCTGTTCGATTACTCCTTCCAGCATTCTCTTTATTTCTTTACGTGCGTTTTCAACAACCGAGGCAGTGACATCTTGTACGAGTCCCCTGTCCCCTAGCTCGGCCTTACCCAAAGCGACAATAATGTCACTGGTTGTCAGGGTCTGTCCACCAAATACTTTGGCTTCCTGTTTAAGGTAGTGCCCAACAGAGCCTGGTCCGACGGTGACAGAGCCATCCTCAGCCACACGAACCTTACTTCCTCCACCCAACCCGATGGACACGACTTCAGGCATGGAAAATGCTGTTCGTACCCCGCCGACCTCGACAAAGCCAGGTGCCTGACGAGGAAAGCCAGAAGGCAGGAGGGCGCATACATCTGTTGTAGTACCTCCAATGTCCACGACAAGAAGCTGTGACTGTTCCTGCTCCTGATCGGATGAGGAACTGTTGTCCTTCCGGGCCTCCCTTTGATGGTCAATGCCAGCAAGGAAAGCAGCACCGGTCATACTGTTGGTTGGTCCGCTAGCAAATGTCTTGATTGGGTACTCAGCAGCTGTGTCGGCGTCAATGAGTGTCCCATCGTTTTGCGAGAGGTACAGCGGGCATGAGAGGTTCAGCCGCCTCATGGCACGCTGAAATCCCCTCTTTACCCTATGCCCAGTGCGCAAGATGGCAGCGTTGAGGATAGTGGCATTCTCTCTCTCCAATAGGCCAGTTGGGCCAATGTCATGCGAACATACAACATGGAGATCTGGCGCTTCTTCAAGTAGGATGCGCTTACACTGCTCCTCGTGGGCGCCCTCGTGGTCTAGAGGAGAAAAGATGCCAACCAAGGCGATGACCCTCACGCCAGAAGCAACGACATCCCTGGCTGTTTGGCGGATCTGCTCAGGGTTCAATGGAGCTATCTCACGACCATCGATCTCGTGGCCGCCATCGAGATAGTACGCACCCCCGTCAAGGATGGTTCTAAGACCGACAGGAAAGTCAGAGAAAGGCACAATTTGTCTAGCGAAGGGCCCGCAAAGACGTACAACAGCGACACGATCCAGCCTCCTCGCGTCAGCCTCGACAAGAGCATTGATGAAATGCGTAGTTCCAATTGTGACACTCAACACGCGACTTTGGTCGACTTGCGACTCCTGCAGCACAGCACGGATGGCAGACTCGATACCACTGGTGATGTCTGGGGTTGTCGAGGCCTTGTGTGAAGCAAGAACACCTCGGCCGGGGCTGTCAGCAGCCCTGATATCAAGGATGGCGGCATCCGTGTTGGTGCCGCCCACGTCAACGCCAATGCGGTAGAGAGACATACGGAGGGGAGCAAG